TCGGAGCCGGAGAAGAGTTTTAAGAGAAATAAATATCTTACAAATCAAGCAATTTTTCTTAATTTAAAACACTTTCCTCTGACTGATGTACCAGCTGACTATGCGCACAGTCTAAAAGAAAAGGTGAATTTGAAGCCCTGACCGGGCGAGACGCTTGTGATGAGGGGCCTCTTCCTGCCCACGAGTTTCTCGATATCACTCTGGTTTCTCTTCAGATCGTATAAATCTTTCGCCTTTTACTAAAGATTTCCGTGGAGAGGAACAATATGAGTTTCAACCAATTTTTTGATTGCCCTGCCTCACGGCGGGGCTTCTCAGCTGTGTTAAAAAAAGATATGAACATATTGAAGGGAACTTTATATTAAATTATCAAAAGCCCACATCTGGTTTTTAGCTCAAGCAAAAGTTCTTGCATCTCATGATTATGGTGTGAAATATGATTTAATACTTATATTTTGCACCTGCGCAGGGTGTATCCCAACTTGTGCCTGGCCCTTGCCAGGAGAGATCGTGGCTGCCCCATCACTAGAGAAAGGATGGACCATGATTTCTGACCTCTCTCTCACCTGTCCACGTTTGTGAGGATATTGTCTGTGCGGCACGCCCTGCCTTCATCAACGGGCACTTTGAGGATTTTAAAGTTGAACTCGGGCCTTTCTGAAATCGCTGTGGCTGCCCAGCTCCCCTGCGGCCAGGCTGTGAAGGGAGAAGCTCAGCTGTTTTTTTAAGTGCAGACAGAAGAGGCCAGAGGTACAGTTGTACAAGGTGTGGCGAACACCCTGGAAGCAAGCAGGCCGCTTTGTGACAGCTGCGCTTAAAGGCGCTGAGGAAGAATGTGCTTTAATTACCACAACAAGTCCAGGCAGAGAAATAATCTTCATGTTATACAGCGTCTTTCACCACACCATCTCGCAACACACCTTACAAGAAACCACGAGAAAAGATAAAAACAGCACAGGCAAGCCTGTACACGAATCAACACACTAAGCTATCAGACATTTAAAAGTGCTGACTAGTAACATCCAATGAATCTCTGTGAAATTGAACGACGTCAACGCGTGAAGAACGCTTGGAGATATGACGTCACTGGAGGCCCCCTTTTGGAGGTTATTTGAATAAATCCCCCCATGATGCACTTCCTTCTGGCCTACAAGAGTATGTTACATTAAATAAACATCCTATAGTCAAGTATTCCAACTTAAATCATTTTATGCATCACAGAAAAAGGCCGCAATTCGTGTTGCGAGAGGCCTGACTGGCCCCTTGGTTTCAGGAAAAAGAACGGTGAATTTGAAGGCCTAAGAGGGCGAGATCCTCCTGATGAAAGGGTTCTTCCGGGTCGCAAAATTCT